GCTCCCCAAAAGTCACCACATGTTTCTCCCAGCCCGAGAATGAGCCTGTTCTGAGGTTTGCAGAGACAGTCCCAGGCCCTGTGCTGGCAGCCAAAACTCATCTTGGGCAGAGGTGGGAGCGGGGGCTTCGCTGCAGGCAGATGTTTCTGTTCTCCAGCAGAGACAGGGGATGCAGAGACTCGGCATGTGCAGATGGGTGGGAGTGGAGAGGGAGCCTGGGGGACTATGAGCAGGATCAATGCAGATGGTGTCAGTCGAATGCAATTTTGGCGACAGACGCTGATTTTGATAAAGCACAGTGTGAGCTGTGCATGGCACACGAGCGCTTCTGATGTTTCCCGCTGGCTCCCACACCCTCCGTGCTGTCTCCTCCCTCTTCCACCGTGGTTTCCTCTGCAAACTACCATCTCCAGTGACTTTGGCACTAGCCCTTCCTGGTCCTCCTCACACCCTGGGCTCATGATTCCCACATCTCCCCCAACCTCCCCGAGCTTCAGCTCCTCTCCTGCCCACCTCTCCAGGCTCCTTCATTATCATCGGACATGTTCTACCTCCACGATCTCACTGTGAGCCCCTCGCTCACTACAAGTTCCTTCCTCCACCTTCAGTGATTGTAAAACAAGCCCACAGATTCTGTGGCACTCTTGCCGTGGAGAAGGTGCATCTGTTCACCTCCCTTCAAGCTGGTGGACTTGTGTCTCCTTCTTCTCCCAGTAGATCAGGGTGGAAGTAACACGGTAGGGTTTCTGAGGCTAGGTTGGAGAAGCCAAGTGACATCTGCCTGGGTTTGTTGGGACCAGGAGGGGCTAGTGCTGAAGTCACTGGAGATGGTAGTTTGCCGAGGAAACCACGGTGGAAGAGGGTTAGTGAGGTGAGCTTTGGCTATGCACCCCCTGGGCAGCATCAGTGGAGACCTGGGTTGTTGATTCATTCATTCATTCCACAAATATTTAGGAAGTCCCTAGCACAAGCCAGGTGCAGTCCCAGAAGCTAGAACCAAGTAGTACCTTGGAAAGTCAAATGACAAAATAAGACAAAAGAAAAGTCACCAAAGTAATGAAAGCTCCTCTTCTTTTACAAAAAGGAGATGCCAGAGGGGAGTTGCAGTTGGGTGCAAAGAGCAGCTGCTACAATTTAAGGGGTACAATGTCCTTATACAGGGCAAGTATTACCAGCTACACCACCCATTCCCCCCCACCCCCCAACAGATGTTTGAAAAGCAGAATCAGGGTTTGGGGTAAAATGCAGCCTTGTGGATGAGTACGAAGATACAAAGTCTAGCACATGCATTTTTCCCCCCTGTCTTCTCATTGTATTAGTTACCTCATACTGCTTAACAAACTGTCCTAAAACGTAGTGGCTTAAAACAATCAATGTTTATTGTCTCCCAGTTTATTCTGTTAGTTGGGAATCTGGGAGCAGCTCAGCCGGATAGTTGTAGTTCAGGGTCTTCCCAGAGGCTGCAGCCAAAATGCTGACCGGGGCTGCGATCATCCGAAGGCTGGACTGGGGCTGGAGCAACCACATCGAAAATGAGGCACTTAAATGGTGGTTGGTAGGAAGCCTCAGTTTCTTGCTTTTCTCCATGTAGTCCTCTCCACAGAGCTGCTCGTGACACTGAAGCCAGGAGTGGGGAGGTTCTCTCTCTGCCTGAGACCAAAATTCTGTCTCCCACACTAGTCAGTTTCAGCAGCACCTATTTGAATAAGCTGCCCTTTCCCCGTAAATTCTGAATCTAGAAAAGCGAGAGGAAAGAATACTCCTCCAATGATCCTCAAACCCTCGTATAACAGGAAGAGAGGGCATGCTAGGTTATGCAAGATACATCTGTTGTGTCTTGCATAACCTAACCTAAGAAGTAACATGCCGTCACTTTTGTTATATTCTCTTGGTCATAGAGACCAATCCTGGCAGCATGGGAGGGCACTACACAGGGAGGTGAATAGCAGGAGGTAGGGTCGCTGGGGTCTTTCTAGAGGCTGGCTGCCACACTCACCTAGTCCTACTTCAAATCTCCTCTGATATTGTATCTCTGGCCTATTCATTTAATAAATATTAATGGAGCACTCGCTATGTGCTGGGCACTGTTTCACCCTCTGAGGATTCATCAGCGACTGAAAAAGAGCCAAATTGCTACCTTCACACAGAGGATATTCTCCTTGGGTTTGGGCCTGTGCCTATCTACAAGACTGAATAAATGGCTGGATGCATGGAGGCGGATGACTGGGCCCAATCTCTGAAGGTGTGCCCTAACTTTATATGCATGTGTGGTCTTTCAAGAGAGTATAATCTCTTTCCTGTTTTGCAGTGACCACTCTGTAATGCCGCGACCATGCTCAGATGTGCTACTGTAGCTGAAATCATTTCTGCAGCAACCTCTCGGAAATACCTTGAAGGAGAAGCCTGGATGGTTCCTTTGAACATTCTCAAAGATAAGAAAGCTGTTTCTTTGAGCTCAGATTTGTTTCGGGGGTGGTGGTGGTCAGTCAATCACCATTTGGAAACCGCTGCAGCCCAAACAATTTCAGAGTTGTAGCACCAGAACCACCCTCACCTCCACCTTTGCCTTGGCTCCCCAGCCCTACACACACAGCCAAGGTTATGGCTTTCTGCTATAAAACGTTTCTCACGAACTCACTCTAAAGGGAGTTTCAAAAGGCGAATTTCAAAATAAGGTGTTTTGAGTAATGGCTACATTTCAGGAATAAAAGAACAGCCTCCTGGAGGAACAATTTGGATTTGAACTCCTGCTCTGATGGAGAAGTTCTCAAATGTTCTTTCCAAAAAGTTTGTTACTTTCTACTTAGACCATATGATTCCTGCCACTGGAGATGACAAGAGCCTATCTCTGGTTTTTATTTCCTTCTTTCCTTCCTTCCTTCCTCCCTCCCTCCCTCCCTCCTTTCTTTTTGTTTTTCTTTCTTTCTTTCATTCTTTTGCTTTTCTTCTCTCTCCCTCTTCCTCCTCCCCTTTCTGCATCCTTCTTCCCTCCTCCTCCTCTTCCTATGCCTCTTCTTCATCATCTTCTTCTCTCTCTTTTTCTCTCCTTCTATCTTTCTCTCTGTCTCTCTCTCTTTCCTTTTTGTGTTGTATCTGGTTATCATAGGTTTGGTTTGGAGGGCACATTTTCCTGGCGAAGTTACAGTGGGTAAAGACTGGCTATTCCTCTTGTCATCGCCACCTTTCAGCCCCCTCCTCCTCTTCCATCCTGACCTGCCAGCTGGATGCTCCAGCTGGAGGCTCAGGGCTCCCTGGGGGCCCGACAGTCCCATCCTTGTGTCTCTGCATTGCAGTTGTCCTCAAGGGCCCCCTTGCCACTTTCTTTTGGGGAGGAAGCAGATGGAAACACAGAAACTTGCTCAACTCTGTCCCTGGCACTTTGCCAACATCCTCCTCCACCTTTTCTCTGTCACGTCACCTAAGGGTGTCCTCATTGGTTGGTAAATAATCACTCCATTTGGTCTGTGTTCGGTCTGCCCTCTCTTTCTGCCAGTATGAATAATTTGGCTACATAAACACGTCATCAGTGATCGTTTGCAAGATCCTTACCATCAAGTGCACTTTATCTATTTATTTACTTATTATTATTATTTTTTTAAAGTGAAAGAAACTGGAAGGTATCAGAGCAGGTTGTGTTTCTTCTGTCTGGAGAATTTCAGGAGATTTGATTTTAAAAGTTCTGACAGCTGGTAAGCTGAGGCTACTTTTAAGTGAGGGCTAATATCCCCTGGGATTCAGGGTTGGTGTCTGAGGAAGGGGATTGCCTCTTCCCCGTGCTGTGGCTCTTGTGTCACATGCAAAGCCTGGCTCAGCTGAGCAGGCTGGAGTAGCGTTGAAACAAATCCAATACTTCACCATCTGGCCCTGATTGTAAACATGTGTATACAAAGTGAGTGTCACTTCAGCTAATTCGCCAGACCCAGGCTGTTTTCATGGTGGCTGCAGCTGTCCCTGGGTGGGGGGCAGAACGGTGGCCCCAGAAGACAGTGAGTACAGGTGGCCAGCCTGTCTTCCAGCAGGACTTGTGGCCGGCAGAGGGAGGCGAGGCCACAAAGCTTCAGTCCACCAGCCTGGGTATTTCACATCCATGTTTCCTTAGAGCTGGTGGCGGCCTCATGCCCAGCTGCATTATCATCATCTGCTTGAAAGTTAATAATTTTCCTTTCAGGCTGTAAATATCTCAAAGATAGGTGGTGTTACTCACCTGTTTCACCACGTCCAGACACTTGCACTTGAGGGGTTATCTTTGAGCTAGGAGTAACTTTTTCCAGTAGACCTAATTGCCTTTCTATTCTCTCTTTATTACTAAAAAAATTTTTTTTTTCTTGAGATGGAGTCTTGCTCTGTCACCCAGGCTGGAGGGCAACTGTGCAACCTTGGCTCACTACAACTGCTGCCTCCCATGTTCAAGTGATTCTCCTGCCTCCTCAGCCTCCCAAGTAGCTGGGACTACAGCTGTGCACCACCACACCTGGCTAATTTTTGTATGTTAGTAGAGACAGGGTTTCACCATGTTGGCCAGGCTTGACTCAAACTCTTGACCTCAGGTGATCCACCTGCCTTGACTTCCCAAAGTGCTGGGATTACAGGCACGAGTCACCACGCTTGGCCTCGCCCACTTTTTGATGAGATATTTTTTTTCTTGTAAATTTGTTCAAGTTCCCTGTAGAGTCTGGATATTAGACCTTTGTCAGGCGGCTAGATTGCACAAATTTTCTCCCATTCTGAAGGTTACTGGTTTACTCTGATGATAGTTTCTTTTGCTGTGCAGAAGCTCTTTAGTTTAACGAGATCCCATTTGCCAATTCTTTTTTTTTATTTGCTTTTTTTCAATCAGTTTTATTAACATGGGGGTCTAAGTAGATTTCAAAATAAAGACCATTTATACAACAGGACCATTTTAATGTTTACAATAAATCTTGATTGCAGACATATATGGCTGTTTGGTAGTATTGAGAAACAGTACCGTAATGGCAGTTTTTCCAATTGGTGTATAGTCCTCTACTTATATATTAAATTGCTGTCAAACCAGTAAGACTGCATTTATGCATCCATCATTTTCAGGATTGTTCGTAACCTGGGCATACTTTCCCCAAATAACTTTGCCTCCTTGCATCACAAGGCCCAATTCGCTCACATTTACCTCAATGACAGTACCTTTGGTAATAACACCCAAAGTTGTATACAGTGGGGATGAAGGATTCTTCTTTACACCAAGTATTGGTAAGCAAAATGTGGCTTTCAGTTCAGGATGTGTCACATGGGCTTTCTTGAAATGCAAGCCCATTGGCCTTATGAATCTTTCATATTTAGGTGGTTTTCTAGTAAAGCCATCTCCAATAAAGCATACTTTAGTAACTATCCTCTTCCGTGCCTTCTTTCTCTTTCCTGTTCGAATAACTTTTAATACTTCTGTTTCTTCCTGGGCACGGACTTTAGGCAGAGGGACTTCCCATTTTCCCGCCTTCTCTTTTCGTTTCTGTTTAATCATATTGGAAAGTACTTTAGCTCGAGATTGTCCTTCTCTGTCCAGCAGATGGGCAGGTCCTGCTCCCTGCCGAGTCTTCTCATCATTCTTCTGTTTGGTGTTTCTCTTTTCATGCATCTTGATAGTCTTTTTCATTTGTATTTTCTCAGCGTGGCACTGTTTATGGTAAAGCTTAGCTTTCAGATCAATCATTTTCTTTGCCTTCTTTGAACGTTCATGAGCTTCTCGGCTTTCCTTCTTTCTCTTTTTCTGATGGTAATCCAAACGGTATCCATAGCGTTTACGATGTAATTCAATGTATTCGGTCTGTGGCATGGTGATGGCCGCAGAGCCGCCAGGAGCGGCCCCAGGGGCGTAAAAATGCTCTTCATTTTCGGGTCTCTGCCAATTCTTTGGTTGTCATTGCTTTTTGGTCTTTTGATCATGAAGTCGTTGCCCATGCCTGTGTCCTGAATGGTACCACCTAGGTTTTCTTCCAGAGTTTTTACGGTTTGGGGTTTTACATTTAAGTCTTCAATCCATCTGGAGTTAATTTGTGTATAAGGTGTAAGGAAGGGGTCCAGGGTCTGTTTTCTGTATACGGCTAGCCAGTTTACCCAGCACTATTTATTAAATAGGGAACCCTTTCCCCGTTGCTTGCTGTTGCCAGGTTTTTCAAAGATCTGATGTTTGTAGATGTGTGGCATTATTTCTGAGGTCTCTGTTTTGTTCCATTGGTCTACATATCTATTTTGGTACCAGTACCACGCTGTTTTGGTTACTGCAGCACATGTATCCCAAAACTTAAAGTTAAAAAAAAAAAAAAAAAAAAAAAAAGGAGTTGCTTCAAGGAGGAGGGTGCTTCCAGGCGAGAGCCAAGTCTGCAGCCTGGGTCAGCCTGCCCCGCCCCCACCAGGCATTCAGAAGATTGGCGCTTCCTCCATCCTGCTCCCCACCCCCCACCCCCAGTCTGCTCAAATGAGCAAGTGACACTTCCCTCAACTCCCCCCTCCCATGCTCCTCAAAAACACGAGAGATTTCATTTTCTACACATGTGAAGAAAATGTACTTTTCCAAACAGCCGCAGGGACCTGCAAAGAGGGAGTGAATCGTCTTTCATGGTGTCTTCTTTGGGGGAGCACAGCAGTAGGGATGGGAGAGGAGACATCGGCCGGGCTGAGAGCAGCCCCCAAGACAGCCTCCTGGGCACCAGGGCTGGGGGACTGCCCTGCTGGTGCTCGGGAGTTGGGGGCTGAGGGGACCACAGGGAGCCTGTGCTTTCTGTCCCCAGAGCCTGGCATCTGGAGGTTGAGGGCAGGACCCGACCGCCGCCAGGCAGTCCCACAGTGGGGCTCTGCCAGGTTCAAGTCCCCTGACGGTCCAGTGCTGTAGGAAGGCCACCAAAATGGGGCTGCTTGGGGACAAGCCCTTCCTCCGAGCCCCAAACAGCAGGCAGGAGGTGAAGGTGGTGGGGAGGGGAGCCCAGGGAGACAGAGCTGTGATGCCCAGGAAAAAGGGGTAGGTGTGGGAATCTGGCAACCCAACATCCCAAACCTAAAGAATCAAAATGAGACAATTCCACTGCGTGACGCCCTCCTTGTGACAGACGCCTAATTAAAACTGGACGGAAACAGGCAAGAAAACCACTTAATCTAGACTCTATTTGCCTTGCTAATTTAGGTGCCTGTGAATGTGTGTGCGTGTGTGTTTTCCTGTTGGGTGAGTGTTTATAAAATCTTAATTAGGTTGTGCGTATTGGAACAGAGATGGAAATAAGTCTTTTTTTTTTTTTTTTTCCTGTAATAGTCTCTTTCCCGGGGGACATTAAAGCTCCATACACAATATTCTCTGAGTAGAGAAAGTAGTAATGGCCTTTGACGATGGGTTTCAGGGAGGAGGGAGAAGAGGCTCTCTGATTCAATCACAGATGGATGGCTGATCGCTTACATTTAAAAAAAAATCAAAACTTCAAATTGGACTCAAAGCAGCTATTTATAACCTGTCAGAAGCTGGTGTTTGAATATTAAATTCGTTGAATACATTTTTAACAACCTCTAATGTGGGGGTTCAGCAGGGGCGGAAGGGACTCACTGTGCCGAGTGCATAGCAGGCGTTCAAGTGTTCCCTGAAATGAACAGAAGGGAGCCCGTGAGGATGGAGTCAGGGCAATCTCACACCATCCTCTTCTCTCTCTTCCCTGTCTCTGCCGGTCCATCCTGAGTCCCGCTCCCGGAACTAAGGTCTGATGGCATTCTTCTCCGTGCATTTGAGGGGACAGTGCTCTGGGAAGGCTGATAGCGACAAGATTGCAGGAGAGAGGATGGCGGACCAAGAGGCTTGGCTTAAATGACAACCTTGGGGCAATTCAGACTGTCACTCCTCAGAGGTGGCCCCCCAGGCAGTTGCAAGGGTCCAGTTCAGCAATGGCTCACATTCAGAGACGGTGCTAGAATGTGATCAGCTGGGATGCAATCGCCTCAGAGACACGTCTTCAACTTGGTCTTACTTGGGGATAAGGGGCTATGCTATTCGTTTCTTGGATGACCTTTCTGGAATCTCTCTGTAGGCTTCCAGCACCTGCAGCTTGTGATAAAGGCTGAGATCTCCTGAAACAGTGGGAGATGGGTACCCGGTCCTCGTGATGGAGGTGGTGATGCCTGCCAGCCCTTCCCTTTTCAGGGAGTCCACCAAGGCATTCCTGGAGGAGAGCAGCACTTCTCACACTTTCCCCAGCACACACACCCACTACATCCTGTTAAAATGCAGATTCTGGCCTTTGTGGTGGCTCATATCTATAATCCCAGCACATCGGGAGGCTGAGGTGGGCGCATCACTGGAGGTCAAGACCAGCCTGGCCAACATGGCAAAACTCTGTCTCTACTAAAAATACATACATTAGCAGTCATGGTGGTGTGCCTCTGTAGTCCCAGTTATTCAGGAGGCTGAGGCAGGAGAATTGCTTGAACCCAAGAGGTGGAGGTTGCAATAAGCTGATATTGTGCCACTGTACTCCAACCTGGGTGACAGAGGGAGACTCCATCTCAGATAAATAAATAAATAAAATGGCCGGTGCGGTGGCTCATGCCCGTAATCCCAGCACTTTGGGAGGCCAAGGTGGGCGGATTACAAGGTCAAGAGATCAAGACCATCCTGGCTAACATGGTGAAACCCCATCTCTACTAAAAATACAAAATTAGCTGGGCGTGGTGGTATGCGCCTGTAATCCCAGCTATTCAGGAGACTGAGGCTGGAGAATTGCTTGGACCTGATAGGCGGAGGTTGCAGTGAGCCAAGGTCACACCACTGCACTCCAGCCTGGAGACAGAATGAGACTTCATCTCAAAAAATAAGTAAATAGATAAATAAACAAATAAAGATTCTGATTTGATAGGTCTGGGATGGGGTGTGAGATTCTGTACATCTAACGGGTTCCCAGGTGAGGCCGAGGCCCCTGGTCCGGGGCCCGCTCTTTGAGTAGCTAGTGTAGAGACCATTGCAGTGACTCTGGAATGGGAACTCTCAGCAGCCTCCCCCAGAGGGCTGGTGAAGACCCGGATGGCTGGGCCCCACCCCTAGGGTTTCCAACCTACTAGGTGTCAGGTAGAGACTGAGAATTTGTCTCTCTCAGATTTCTGAGGACGGTTGGTCTCTAGGAGTGCAGGGCCTATCAGGGGAATGAGGCAGGGAGAGGAACAGGAGGCACCCCATCCCGTGGGGATCAGAGGAAGATGAACTGAAATTGGGCTTTGAAGAGTCAGCCAAATGCATGCAAGCAGAGAGGAAGGGCGCATTCCAGGTGGGGGACTTTAGGTGTAAAGCTGCAGAAATATAAGAAAAATACAGAAGTGTTCAGCATCGAACCACCTTCTCCCTCTCAGCCCTTCTCTCCTCTTCAGGATCACTAAGGGGAAGGGCTTTCCACCCTCTGCTGGGACCAGGAGCAGCTCCGCACATTCCCAGAGTACCTGGGAATATCAAGTATTTTAAATATCATGGATGTCTCAGGCTCTTCCTTCCCAGAGATTCTGAATTAATTGGTTTTAAGTGGGGCCCAGACATTTGTGTTTTAGGTTCTTTTATTTTTCCTTCAAACAAAACTCCTTCCAAAATCAGGGCTGAGACCCACTGGCCTAAACCCAAGTATACCGCCATGCGCCAGCTGCCTGCTAGTTGGGGAGTAAGGCAGGGAACTGCCCCTCCCTTATTCTTTGCGTCTTTATCATGCCCCCCGCCCCAAAAGCAGTTAGCTGAGCATCTGCTAAACACCTGCCCTGTTCTGCCCAGCGCGGTGTGACCTACTTCTTTGCCTGTGGCTTCTGTTGCACACGGGGACTCTGGGGACGGAGGGGCAGATGGAAATGTCAGTGTGTCTGTGTTGATGCTGCATTTGGGTGTCACCCAAGCGCTTGTTTCCCTGTCAGATTCCGGATGCGGCGTTTAGAGAGTAAACCATTGCTGCCAGGCACTTGCCAGGGAGATCAGAGCACCCGGCAGCATCTTGAGACATCCTAGGTTCTGGCTGCCAAGCGCTGGCAGCTCAGGGCCCAGGGCAGAAGGAGGCCCATACTCGGACTGCTTCTGCTTGAATGTGGACTCTGGGTGGATGGCAGCAGCCCGAGGAATTCTTACTCCTGGCCAGAACTCCTGCACCTCCACGCTGGCTTTCCCAGCTACCAGAGAGCACGTGGGGGACACCTGTCCATGTCCAAGCTTGCCTGGGACACTGACCAGGGTGCTGTGATGCTGAGGGCTGCCTGCAGGTGTCCCCACTCAGTAGGCTTCATTGTGAGGGGATGCAGGGCAAGACAGCCAGCCCAGCTCATCTCAAATGGTTCCAGTGTGGGACCAGACACCCGGAAGCAGGCTGAGGCACAGGACATGACACTCTCCTTCTGCCGCTTCCTTTCAAGGAAAAACAGACAGGCTGGATTCCATCCTTTCTATGGGCCCAGTGAGGGGGTTTAGGCGGGACATTGCCCAGCCTTCTGATTCAGAAAGTCTTGGCTGGCCAACATGGTGAAACCCGGTCTCTGCTAAAAATACAAAAATTAGCTGGGTTTGGTGGCATGCACCTGTAGTCCCAGCTACTTGAGAGGCTGAGGCAAGAGAACTGCTTGAACCCAGGAGGCGGAGGTTGCAGTGAGCCTAGATCATGCCACTGCACTCCAGCCTGGTGACAGAGTGAGTCTCCTTATAATGTGGCACATATCCACCATGGAATACTATGCAGGCATAAAAAAGGATGAGTTCATGTCCTTTGCAGGGACATGGATGAAGCTGGAAACCAGCATTCTCAGCAGACTAACACAGGAACAGGAAAGCAATCACCACATGTT